ACATTTACTCTGATATGTAAGACATTCACGAAGGAAATAATTCTGCACATAGAAACTAATTCTAACTTGGTGCATTGGTAAAATTATAAACATAGTTTTACTTTTAAACTTGTAAATTTGAGTTTAATCTTGAAACAAAAGTGTCTCAAGTTTCAAAGGTTTAAACTAAAAAGGAACTGCAAGAGAAAGTGTTGTTGGATATGTTAGTTTTTTAAGAAACTAAGAACAATTTTCTTGATCATTAAGAAGTGTTGGAAAAAGGTTGCAGGAGAAAAGGTGGGATAACGTAAGTGTATAACTTCTGCTCACTCTTTTGAATGTGTGAAAATTGTATGTTTGTAATGTTTCTGTTATCTTCTGTTCAATAAAACCTATGTTTCTAAAATTTATAAATAATATTGGTAACAAAACTAAACAATTTTGTAAGATTTTGTCATCTTTCACACATTTATACATGCCGTAGAGAACAGTTTCAGTCAGATGTTTTCATACTGTAGTTTTGGTTCGAGCCRCTCGAAGCTTCGTTTCCCGCTACCGTGTCCGAGCGCAAATCTTTGCAAACAAAAGTTTTCATGGCCTCTGTTATCTTTGAGTTCAGCTGAGAATCAGCTGTAGTGTAAGTGATTCCTTAAGTTTCTTTTGTTTTGCCCCAGACAACTTGTTGKCGGGAGCTAACGTTAGCGCCGACCGTCAACCGGATGTAAGCCTTTGGCAAGCCAGGATTGACACACAACATGGAAATGTGCAGCTTCATCGCACACAACACCCATGGGGAAGAATCGATCTCATGACTTATGAATCGATTTTCCCAAATTTGAACACACAAGCTGCGTTTCCATTGCAAATGTGCGCAAAACTTTGTCGATATTCTGTTAAAAACACAGTTTCGCAACTGCTGTGTTTCCATTAAGTAAGAAATGCTATTAAAGTCACGCGTGAATACGTTTGTTCTCACGATAAGTCATTACAAACATGGCGGCGATGGATGTAAACACATAGCATATTGCTACCGCGACACTAGCGCTCATCATCAGAGGAGACATCAGCGTCTTTTATCGAGGCTTTCCAGCGACAAGTCCCTACTTGGGAGCGGCTACGTATGCTGTGTTTTTGGGAAATTGTAGTCAGTGAGTTTACTACTTTATACTACTTCTGTGATTTTACTACTATTTCTACTTCCTGTTATCTTCTTCATCATCATCTTTTTCGCCAGTAGAAACAGCCGGTTGTTGATCACGTGATTCCCATGATGCGAAAAAAATGTTTCCATTGCAGTTTTGTGAAAAACACCGATTTTTATACAGCCGAAAAAACACCTCATCCTACCGCAAAACATTTTGTTGAAAAACATAATTTTTTTCAAAACTGACGTGTTTCCATTGAGCAAATTTATTTTCAAAATTCTAATTTGCGCATTTTTATGGTCAACGGAAACGCAGCAACAGTCAACAACAATTTCACTCACATTTCCTGACAGGGGTAGTAATAAAAGGAAAACAATAAAATTTAAAGAACATTATAGACATTACCAGGTTAATTGTTTTAAATAAATGTACTACGAGGTTTAACATTTTAAGACTTGATTGTTCTAACTAAAAAAAAGGCTAGAATAAAATAATTTTTTGTGTAAGGTACAAAACCAACACCCATTTGAGCACAAAAATACGAACAGAATCCTTATTGCTCTGCCGGCAAATGATAATAATCTATATTGTTACAAATATGCAGGCCCTCAAACAGACTTCCATCCAGTCTGGTTTCATGTGTCAAACCTCAACCTCTCGTTCAAGTCCAGACCTAAAAATACCAAGAGGACGGCAGCAAGTTACCCAGACTGTGGATTCATTACAGCACTTTATATATGGATGCCTTCTTTTACATTTTTTATTATTAATGTGTTGTTGCTCATTCTCTGCCTTACATATATAAAACCAGGAAACATAAGAGAAGTTTACATTATTTTCTTAATGAATGTATTATTTTATATGTAGGTTGTATTTGTTCTGTTTATTTTTAATAAAAGCTGAACGAGCTGCTTTGTATGACTGGATCAAATATTGTCTTCCATCTGATGACTGTTAAAAGAAACTGAGACGTCTCCACTCGAACAGCTTACAGAACGGGGCGACATTTATATCATCCAGGCTGACTTTTCAGGTCATGTTCTTATATAACCTGCGATGTCCATTTTGTTAGGGCTGCTCTAACAGTCTGTCATCTTTTGGCAGAAGAGTCGCATCGACACACCGTTTCTGCCTCGCTCAGCTGAGAAATGTTGACATCTCAGGTTTTAGACTCAAGTTTTCCTCCGATAAACATGAAACAGAGACCGTTGGAAGTTGTAGCCATTATGGTCAAACCTTGTAAATGATACTTTGTGTCATCTCATATTTAAAAATATATATTAATATATTGTTATATATCAAGATCTTGTGAGTGTTAGCCTTCAGATTGGGTGTGGTGAATAACTCAGCTACTACCACACTAAGTTTTAACACAGTACCTGTAAAACTGACTTTGTTGTGACGGCTGATGTTGATTGGTTCTTTTGCAACAGACGAGCAAGGCTGGCTCCAACCGCTAATGCCGAAGTTTGAAAAAGAGCTCACGCAAGTGCTCAGAGCTTTAGCTAGGGATTTCGCTCAGCTACTATCACACCAAGCTTCAGCTCAATAAAACTGGTTGAGTTACAGGCAGTTTTTGTGTTTTCAATAAGAGGTGCAGACTGTCTTTAATAAGACTGACTCCAAAAGATGTAGCTGTACTCCCAGTGATTACTGTGATATATGCATCAAAATGTGTTCAGTGGTTCATAAGATATTTTGCTAACAGGAATGATAAATAAACGCCACTTTGGCTTTGGCGACAGGCAGTATACTGACCTGCAGTAAAACTTAAGAAAAACAAATAGCTGAAAATGAGAACTAATTCTCCTGCGGGGTGGTAAAATGACTGAAATCGGAAAAAAAACTTGATTATGATGGAAAAAATTTTTGTACAACTTGTAATATTCAGCAAAAAGCAAAGCAGAATGAAGTGTTAGCAGCACGGTTTGCTACTGAAGCTGAACGGGCAGCGTTTCCTCCCGCCAGACCCTGCAGGGGAATTCACCCAACGCCCACCTTTCCAGTAATCTGTTCTATTTTACTGTTACCCCAATGACACGTAAGCTCACAAGAAACACATATTTTGTGAAATGCCCACATACAATGCCTTTATAAAGGATTCATACATTTTAAACATATTCTGTCATGTTACAACCTTTAACTTCAAAGTCTTTTACTCGGATTTTATGTGGGCCAACACAAAATAGAGCAAAACTGTGAATTGGAAGAAAATCAATTGCAAGGTTTCCCAATTTTTTTTATATAAAATTATATACATTTTATATAAAATCTGCTGCACAGTTGCAGCTGCAAGTCATTTAGCAGCTTTGCATTCACTGTAAAAAATGAAATGTTGGATTTACTTAACCATGTTATGTTACCTGGTTCCACTTAACTGAGTTGAGTAAATTCAAAGCAATATACCAGTTTTTTAATCGAAGAACATGAGTATGTTGCTTTGAATTTACTCAACTAAGTAAGTCCAACATTTCATTTTTAGAGTGTACCTGGAGAAGGAAACTTTTGCCCATTCTTCTCTGCAGAACCATCCAAGGTTGGATGGAGGGCGATTATTAACAGAAGGTGAACCTCCGCTCCAGTCTTTAGCAACCTCGAATGAGTTTTCTTCCAGGATTGCCCAGAAGAAGAAAAAAAAACTGTTGGAGAAAAGCATCCCCAAAACATGATGATGCCGCCTTCACGTCTCACAGTGAAGTTTTTGTGTTCGTTTTTTTTCTGCCACATTAATATTATTTTTGCTTTGAGGTCACAAAGTTCAATTTTGGTCCCATCTGACCAAAATGATCAATGTTTGCTGTGTTTTACGTGGTTAGAGTCAAACCACAAACAGAACTTCAAACACATTTATGTCAACAATGACTTTCTTCTTGCTGCTCATCTATAAAGTTCAGATATGTGGAGTGATCGGCTGATGGTTCTGATAGTGGACAGATTGTCCCACCTGAGCTGTGGATCTCTGCAGCTCCACCAGAGTCATCTTGAGGCTCCTTGGCTCCTTGTCCTGTCAGTTTAGGTGGACTGTCGTGTCTTAGTAGGTTTGCAGTCGTAGTATTTACATTTTTAGACGATTGACTGAACGGTGAGGTGTTCAAAGCTAAGGATGGTTTAATAACTTCACCCTGCTTTAAACTTCAACAACTTGGTCCTGTGGTCTTCATGATGCTGTTTGATCACTACTGTTCTATAACAAACCTTACAGAACAGATGGATTTAAAAATGTATTTCACCAAGTATCAATTTTCCCAATTATGACCCACTATGTGATGGTCCATCACAAAAACAATCCAAATAAATGCATTTATAATTGCATTTATTGTAATAAAAGCTTGTGACTGTATCATTGACAAAATGTAAATAAACTGTAACTATATCCCAAGTTGAAGGCTTTAAATGTCACTAAGGACTTGTTTACCATCATTCCTTTTTCTGTAGTCAGAGCTTTTGTCCTAACATGTCCTGCTAAAAGTACCTTGTAGCTTTTGGAATCATGAAACTGTTGGTTAATCCCTGGATTTGGGACAGACATTAATCCGCCTCCTCCCTGCTCTCTACATGGCTCAGACATGGGCAAACAACATTTGGAGGTGGCAGTGTATCTAGAAGTTGTGAAGGCTGGATGTGTGTGTGTGTGTGTGTCAGAGTTAGTTTAGTGTATCAGTGAGAGCAGGGAGGGTGTGTCTGCAGGGCCCTGATGCAGCACCACAGATTTGACAGCTCTGTTTGTGTCCCACAACAAGATTAAAACAGCAGATTGTAAAACAAACAACCACCCTGATTGGCTCAAAGAATGATAATAAAAACAGGTCAACAAGAAGCAGGTGGAGCGTGTCTGTTTTTGGACAAACAGATGAAAAGATAAACCATGGAACCTACTCGTTTTTTACGCATCTGCTCTCTTGGAACACTTTATCCAGCTGGACCACAGCCTGTCCCAGGAACACGTCCAGCCCGATCAGCGCCCGGTGCATGACGGTCAGGACCAGCTCGGTGCTCCCGGCCGGGTGTCCGCTCCGCTCGCCGCCCGGCTCCAGCGCGCMGGGCGGCAGCTCGAACGAGCACTCCTCGCGCCACTCCGGCTCGGTGGTCTTCTCCGCCACGCCTGTGGAGTACTTCTCCTTCCCCAGCTGGATGATGGTGTACACATCGCTGGTGCCGTGCTTGCCCTTGCCTCGTAAGCCCCTGCCCCTCAGCACCGTCACCTGGACGTGCGTCGGCACCCAGCTCTGGTTCTCCTCCACGGTTAGCGAGGACATGTCCCCTCCGAGACGAGACGCGCTCCAGCGGACACGGTCACATCAGCGCAGGGCTCTGCGGGCCGTGCCGCATTATTCGTGGTGGTGTGTCGTCTCCGGGAAGCTGCTGTGGTTGTTTGCAGCCTCGGCCGCTCTGCAGCAGCACGCAGCGGCCCTCCTCTGCCCGCTCCCCCTGCCGTACGGGCCTGTCTGCAGATGGCGACGTCACGCCTCCTCCATCCTCCTCCTCCTGCGGGACGAGGAAGTTCATCAGCAGCACATGGCTGCAAGGAGAACATGCTGTCTGTGCAGGAGCAGCCACGTGTCTGATATTTACCCTGGTGYAATTATTCAGTTAAACCAATTAAACAAAATGTTCATAAAACAGATCCCTGACAAGAGGAGGCTTCTAGCCAAGAAGCTCCAGAACAGAATGGGGTGTGTGTGTGTTTTCCAAGTTCAACTCTACACCACTATCAAGCAGCCTAACTGTTACCCTCTGTTATGAAAATGCTGTGTATCAAAATAATTATAAAATTATTTTTAAAATTAATTATTGCATCATAATCTATCTAAAATTGGCCTCTGTCTCTTTAACCTCCTACAGTTTCTGACACTCCCACTTCAGCACTTCTCAACATTGCTTTGCAAGTAGGGGTCTCTGCTGAGTGCGGACTAGTGAGCGTGTCACAAGGAAAGGCGATTCYTTTTTTGATCAAGGTCTTTTTATTAATTTTTTTCAACAAACCACAAAAAAGAACAGACTTACAAAAACACAAAACAAAACACACACACCCAAAATCTCTCCCAACCCTCCACTCCTATCCCGGACCCACGGAAACAACCAAAATCGATCTCGTATTCATACAAGTG